TTTCCCTGCTTCTGATGTCAGCCCTCAACTCTGCCCCATAGGCAATAGTCAGAAGGAAATCTGAACATGTTCCTTTTTTTCCTACCCACCCATTAAAGCAATTCAGCTTCCTAAGATAAACACATAATTCTATAGCCAACCCCTGCCAGTCCGTCATTCAGAGACTGTTCTGTAGCATCCAGGGATTGCTCCACAGAATGGGAAAATAGTCTCTTTCCAAGCTGCCTTCCAGTACATGAGAGCTCTAAGTTGGATTTCCTGCCAAACAAACTGGCATAGACTGGAGTCAGAACTGACAGCTGGCCAGGCGGTGGTGGCACAAGTCTTTAATCCCAGCACTCAGGAGGCAGAGGTAGGCGCGTCACTGAGTTCAAGGCCAGCTTGCTCTACAAGAGCTAGTTCCAGGACAGGAACCAAAGCTACAGAGAAACCTTGTCTCAAAAAACAAAAAACTGACAACTGTTCTTTTCAGGATCGAAGGAGTGAGTTCATTGGTACAGGACACCATAGCAAAACTTCGCCTGAAGAAACTGTTCAGTGGTGTCTTTATCAATGTCACCCCTCAGACTGTAAGAATGCTGCGCACAGTGGAGCCTTATGTGACCTGGGGGTGAGTGCAGTTTTCCACGTGAGTTCCCTTGTGCTTTGAGTGTTTAAGACACACAGGGTATTGTTTTCTCAGGGTTTGTGTTGTGTTGGGCATTTTGCTGTGGTCACTCACCAGAAATAAAGAACCTTGGGATATGAGACAGCAGTGATGCTGCTGGTGGTCCTTACAGAATCATTTCAGGACTTCCAATTGTAGATTAAAGCTAAATAAAGTGAAGGGCAGAGAGGGTAACACCCGAACCTAACTAATGTCAGTGCTTATGTGACAGTAGTGGTCTTTGCTGGGTGGTAGCTCACACCTCTAATCCCAGCCCTTGGGAGGCAGAGGCTGCGAGGTTGCTATGGATTCCTGGTCAGCCTGAACTATGCTATAAGACTCTTTCTCAAAGAAACCAATGCAAATTTAGAGCATGATGCCTCAGGCCGTAATCCCTATAACCAAAGACTGAGGCAAGAGCATTGCTGCAAGTTTGAGGCCAGCATAAGGCCATAAGAATAAGACCCAGTCTCAAAAAAAAATCTAAATGTCTAATTTTATACTCCGGCCCACTCTAGGTTTTCTAGTTGGCAGGTGGATTGGTTTGTTTTATTTTAATTGAGTCAAGATATTTCTGGGCAACCTAAACCCAGTTCAGACTCCCTGTGCAGCCCAGGTTGTGGGAAGTTGGGGTGAGAGGACCCTTCTCAGCCAGCTGCAGAACCGAGTGGCCAGTGTAATGCAGGATGTTCTATTGTGCCTTACACAGATTTCCAAATCTGAAGTCTGTCCGGGAACTCATCTTGAAACGTGGACAAGCGAAAGTTAACAATAAAACTGTCCCTCTGACCAACAACACCATGATTGAGGAGCACCTGGGTGAGTGCTGCTGCTGAGGCCAGCAGGGGTGTTGGCAGCTGTGACTTGACCAGGGTGTGCTCTTGGGCTGTACAGTCCCCTGTCAGGCGAGCACTGGCTTGATGGTGACCAAAGGAATCTACACCTTTTATTCCTCAGGGAGATTTGGTGTCATTTGCCTGGAAGACCTCATCCATGAAATTGCCTTCCCGGGGAAGCATTTCCGCGCGATTTCTTCATTCCTGTGCCCATTCCACCTCTCTGTGGCCCGCCATGCCGCCAAGAATAGAGTGGGGTTCCTCAAGGAGATGGGCTCTCCTGGCTATCGGGGTGAACGCATCAATCAGCTTATCCGCCAGCTGAACTAAACTGGGACCAGGTGCGACTGTGCTGCAGACTGCTTGCTCCCTCCCTTCCTCCTTCCCTCCCTGCCCCTCCTCCCTGTGTATACCTTTGCGCATGCCCCCCACAGTGCTCATGTAGAGGTCAGGAACAGACTGGGAGGGGGGAGTTGGTTCTTTGCTCCCATTCCTCAAAGATCAAAGCAGTTTGTCTTGGTGACAAAAAGCCTTTCTTACTGAGCCATCTTGTCAGCCCTTGGTCTGACTTTTGATGGGTCATGCTTGTCCATTAAAAGTCCCTCTGTGAGCTGTAGTTACAATTAGTGGCAAGAACTAGCCATGGATGCAAGTTCTTAGTCCTTGCATCACTGGAAAACAAGTTCTTCTTGTGTATGCCGGTACTTGAGAGTTGTGTTCAAATGGGAGTGAGCATGTTGACCTGTTGGGAAGGGTCAGCGCCTGATGAAGACATGAACCCTTGACTGTTAGGTTACAGGACATTTAGCCTGCAGACTAATGAGCTGTTGTGTTGGAAGGATCTTACCCTGAGTTGATCCTCTGTATTCCTGCTGCCCTTGCACTCCACACCAGGTCCATTGTTTGCCTGATGCAGTTGTGGTTTCCCTCCTCAGGATTTCCAGAAGACAGTGCATAGGAAGTGTGCATTTGTTATTAAAATTATCAGTATCTTCAAAGAAGATTATTTTCTGCCTTCAAAACCTGGAAGGAAGTGGTCAGCAGAAAGATAGCAGGGTATGAGCATTGGAAACCTCAGCACAGCCCAGTTTGATGGAAAAGGATGTTCTCCACAGTGGCTGCCCCTGCCTCTGAAGTCAACGCAGGCCACGGAGGAAAGAGTTGCCCTACTTTGTCCTGCCTGATATCTTGATGTTTAATGTTGGGTGGGCAAATAATCCAAACACCCCTCCTACCCCTTCTAGCTCTCAGAAGGCCATGGTCCAGACCCAGGGGCGTACTTGAGTCTGGAAGAAGAGAGTCTTGGTTCTTACTTTGTATTGTATTTTTGTCAGCGCCGGTGACTTTGTTTGTTTTTTTAGGACAGGGTCTCACTGTGTAAATCCGGTTCACCTTATTACACTCCATAGCAATCCTGCCTCATCCTCCTAATGCTGAGGTTATAGGTGTGTGCACCCCCAGCCTGGGAACTTACACCACAGACGTGAAATGCAGTTAGGAAGGTAACGAAAGCTTTGCTGGTCTGTGCTGTGAGGCCATGTTGCAACTTCGGTGTCAGCTTTGGTCAGGCTTGCCTGTCCCTGAGTCAGTGATGGCATTTGTACCCTGACACCCTCTTGGCACTCAGGCATCTTACATGAGGATGCATATGAGTGAGCATTCTGATCTAGAGAGATTAAAGTTTAGCCTTGCTTGTTTCCTGTTCAGATCTAGTGCTAAACTGGGCCTGGTGGTACAGCCCTTTAATCCCAGTGCTTGGGAGGAAGAGGGGCACACACACACACACACACACACACACACACACACACACACACACAC